TAATATACCAACATTCATGTGTTAGATTTTTCTTTTTTTTATGAACAGTTATATAATTTATGTTCTTTTTTATTTCAGGTGAATGAAATGGAAATTCCTAAATTTAAAGCGGAAAGGATACTGAAAGAACACAACGGAGACTTAGTAGCAACACTTACTGCTCTTACAGACTGATGACACCTTCCCCGCTCTTATGTTACTTACATCCCCCCCCCCTCCCCCCAGAATCTGAATTGCTGTCTCATATGAAAACATGAAAAGTGCTTATGGTATAAATCAGATTAAACAGCGCCCTCTTGTGTCAAAGTATGCGATTCTGTACATTTCTATATCTTCGACTTCCAGGAATGTGGTTTATTAAGAACTTCTATCAATGTGACTGGTTACAACAGAACCCGTGAATGTGTTCTCTATTTTTTAGTTACCAGAACCTTAAATCAAACAGCGCCCTCTTGAGTCAAAATATGTTGTTCTCTAGATACAACATTCAGAACTTTCTCCAAGACGTTAGGCACTATTGTGATTCCCTCTTTTTTTTAATTCAACTTTTTGTAAAATATGGCAAATATTTATTCTTACTGTTTTGTTTAATATAATAACAGAATAACTAAGCCATAGATTTGTAATAGGAATTTTAGTGAGAACAAATTACTTTGAAATAGTGATCAACTAAATTTTTGTTTTTATTTTGTCAAATATGTACACAAGATGTCACAGTGAATGGGGAATCACCTCATTAAGGTAGAAGCCTACTCAGAAATGCAAATATCCGGAATTTATTCATATATTTTAATAAATTGTATCTCTGGGCATTAAATATAATTTGACTTGTCAGGGGTCACCAGCTTAATTTTCGAGAAAATGATGGTTGTATTTTATTGGATAGTGGCCATTTCGACAGTATTATAATGCTTTATCAGATATTATGCCATATCTTAAAATGTAAGCTAGTGACATAGGCTAAAAAAAATCATATATTGTTAAGGATGGGGTACTTTTTGTTACTAAATTATTTCAAAAATCTGCGTTAAACATTGTGCTATTTAAAATTATTCTGAAAAGAGCAATTTTTTTTAAAATATTGGGATAAGTTTCCCAAAATATTACTGGAACACCCAACCAATGCTATTCCATGCTGCCATGGGACAATAGCATCACGATTTTTTCATAATAGACCACTAAACTCTGTCATGCGATTGATGACCAACTTCCTCAAAAATTATGAATAGACTTCTACCTAATAATATGATAGAGGTACTAGTAACTTTTAATATACAATCACTGTTGTAAGTTTGCCTCTGCCTCCACCTGAACAAATGCCTATGCAAATTAGGTATCAGGAACCATTCAAAACTTACCACTTTCTATAGGAACAGACTGGTTAAGTAAACTATGATTTGATTGGATGACAAATGTCAGTAGGATGGTTAATTTGCATATGTAGTTGTATATTAAAGACTACAACAAATATTAACGATGCTGATCTGTACCATTAAAACTTGTTTTCCCTCATTTCTGTATTATTTTCCAGCAAATTTAATTTGAATATAATAAAATATTCTGACAAATTCAAATTTAGTTTTATGAACTATCGCAATCATATTATGGACATCTGATACACTATGGTGGGTCAATGATGTCTGGCACAGTATGGTGAGTAAATTATGTCTGGTACACTATGGTGGGTCAATGATGTCTGGCACAGTATGGTGAGTAAATTATGTCTGGTACACTATGGTGGGTCAATGATGTCTGGTACAGTATGGTGGGTCAATGATGTCTGGTACAGTATGGTGGGTCAATGATGTCTGGTACAGTATGGTGGGTCAATGATGTCTGGT